CCGATTACCCAACCAGCTCGGGATCCCTCGAAGCCGACGCGTTACACGCAATTCCGTGTAACGCACCACGGTGCGCCGCGCCATGCCGCACTATTGCGTGCCGCCTTTGAATTTAGAAGCGTACTTTTTTTTTCCCTAAGAAAAGAAAAATTACAAGCTCGAGTAATTGAAAAATGCATCTGTCAGCGAGGTACAGCGAAAGGCATTTAAACTGAAAGAATATCAATATCTCCACTTCTCATGTGCGATTGCTCGTCGATAATACTCGACATGTAGGTACTTTAAAAGTATTTATTTTGCCAGATATTTAACAAAAAAATTCGCGCAGCTCTTATATTGAAAACTAATAAATAATAATTGACACAAATTTATACAAATATGCAAGTAATGCGGAGAAATTTTTTCTTCCATTACCGCTAATATTTTTAGTACATATTTCACGCATGTATTTTTCGGTTTCACATTGTTGTATATTTTATCAATAACTTCCAACATGGCGGATAAAAAAACGGCGAAGAAGCGTTCGTGCGCAATGTCAGAATAAAAATAAATCAAAAGCAACTTCGCTGACAGAACGAGGGATTTCCTTTGGTAAAAGTTCGCAACAACTTCCATCAAGTGTGGCAAGCGCAATGTCGCGTGGGATTTGTTGGAACACGCAACCGGCAGCTGTGTATAACATCTCGATGAAACCCAGAAAAGCGTAAAAGGTCGAATAGCAAGCAGAAAGTGGAATCGCTCGAAAACGAGTTATCAGCTTGATCAGAAGGACGTTAAAGCGCCGCGAAACGGGGCGAACAATTAGCATAGAATTAGATCCACTGCTCCCTCAGATGCGCAATTAATCCTCACCCCATCCGTTCTCACGCGATTACCCAACACGCGTGATATTTGAGCAGTACGTCGAGCAATTCTTTATTAAACGCTTGGTAACATTAGCAAAAAAAAAAAACAACGTAATTACTAGACGTAATTACTGGTAAACACAACATGATTACTAAAAATGTGCCTCATATTAAATTTCATCAATGATTGACATTTAAGTGGATAGCAAATTATGGATGGCAAATATCAACCATCGTCATTATAAATCTTTAAAATATTCCGTGTATTTTTGTTAAACGTTATGATAGAGAATAGAAAGGTAAAGAATAATTAACAAAAACGTTCATCAATACTATTAAATATAAATTTGTTACTTAATAAAATTTATAAGTAGCTTTGAAGATTCCAAAATAGATGTAGCACATATCGATAAATTAGCTAAACCTGCGTTGATTAAATGTGTTCACGAAAAAAAAAATCATGTAAAAAAATTTTCTCGGAGTGGAGAGGATTAATTGACGGTGGCGACCTTGTCATGGATGATCGCAGAGTTAAAGCAATATCGTCGCAGTCCCTGCACTTGTTTCGCTTAGACAAGGAAACGGAGAAAGTCAATGCCGGGATCTCAGATCTATTTCCGTGGGGTCTCAGCCGAGCAGTAACAGATGGAAGGAGACACGAAGGGGGAGCGACGAAGAGAATTTATGTGTTTAGGGAGGGTCAAGGGAACGAGGGTAGCGACAAGTGCAGCGGACAGGCGGAGAACAGCTGGATGCAACGAGGAGAGAAGGCGAGGCGGAAAGGGAAAGATGGGAGGGGAAAATGCGAAGGGATGGATGCATTTGCACGTCACGCGCACGTTATCGAGACAAATTCCATTCTCCGGATCGTTTCCGACGCGAGGACGAGACAAGGGCTGTTTTAGAACCGGGTATCCGCGGCATCCCGGATTCGAGAAAGCTATGATCGCTGGAACCCAGAATCCGTGAATCCGACAGATTCTATATCAGGGATGTAGAATCTATATAGGCGATAGAATTTCGAGGATTCGAAACTTCTGACGTGGGACGTTTACAAAGATTAGAATCTATAGAAACTAAGAGAAAAATAGAAAGGAGAATCTCTTTCTTTTAATAAAAAACTTCAAGCTCAAATACCTAGAAATTTATTATAAATAAATATCGAATAAAGAATTAGTAACGCCTGAAATCTATAGAAATAAAAAAATCTAAAATTCTAAATATATTTATAACTTATCAAACCCCCCCAGAGCTTTTTCAAGAATTAGTGAAATCTCCAAGCTTCAATATTTATCAGAGAATTCAACATTAAATAATCTAGGATTTTTATTTTTAAGATCCATGAGATTTCAATTTCGCTAAAGGAGCGAGATTGTACGAAATCTATGATCAACAATTCAGTAGGTTTCGATTTTGTTGTTACATCCTAATCACAATCTAGTAATTCGCGAAAGTCGTCTAAAGAAATGTGCATGTTGCACCACGCTAGTCGCTCCAGTAACTGAACGAGTCGAAAGTGAATCATATAGTTATTCGCGTTCCGACGTTTAATGCGCGCGAGATTACTTTCTTTTGCCCTACTTTTGTTTTCACAGGCGAGCTCGCAGTCAGCAATTTCTTCGTCGTCTCCAAAGATCGGCTGAGAAACGAGATAGAGTGAGAAAAAGCGATGCGCGATGCGGGACAAAATATAATAAATCGTATGTATACGTTTGCATGAAAATCGTCCATCGACACGCGCGCGTCTGCTCAATCGAGCGTGTAATGACGCCGTCTCGCGTGAAAATTCGTTTTTTACGCGCGTTACGCACCGAGTACTTGGTGAAAGTGATGCGCGTGCCGAAGACACACGCCAGTCGACACGCCAGAAAACTAGCGTATACACATTATATGTTCGCTTTCCTCCTGTTTGCCTAATGAGTTCACTAGATATCGCAAGGCGCGATCGAAACCTACTGGATAAAATGAGACATCCTTAATAAATTAAATGCAATTAATCTCGGCTTTCGTGTCCCAGTTAAATATAATCTGTCTGTTTCAAATAAAGATTAGAAAAAATTAGTTTGCGCGACATCTAAGTCATAGACATTTTAACATAAGTATAAATGTCAATTAGAAAACATGTATATTATCATCGATGTATGAATTTCAATTTCAATGTGTTTTTGCTATGAGAATCTTTGTATTTTCTTCAAATGTTTTAGGATTAATATATCTGCAACAAAGCGTGATATATATAATATATATCATTTCATATTTTCGTAAAATGTAAATATCAATATTTTTGCTTCTATTTGAAATTTTTTAATCATCATTTTTTATCAAGCAGTATAAGACAATCTCATATTCAATTTCAGCTTTTTTATTTAAACTCTTGCCACGGTAGGCAAAGTGTGTTATTTCGATAATGTAAAATTTAGTGCATTTATTAAAAGCTCTACATTTATTAAAAACTCTACGAAAAATATATAATTGTCAAATAGTCAACTATACTTCAGCTTTCGCGGAGGAAAGTGTATTGCTGTTGAGAGAACATGTTGCCGCTTTGTTGCAGATTTTAATTTTATTGCAATTTTATATTTGATATAATATTGGGAAAAGCACTAGATTTCAAGCTGTATTTGTAATAGTTTTGTTAGAAAGTTTGGTTTCTCACTTTCCAACCGCTTTCTAAAAATGTGAAAAGAACAACGATGAGCACCCACTTCAATTCGTGTTCTAACGGCTCGTAATTACTCGTCGCGGCCTGCGGTCAGAACGAAATAGCAAGGCGATACTCCACCTCGTTAAAAGTCCGATAAAACAAATCGAAATTGATTTGCAAAAAATATACAAGGCAAATTGGCACATTTATTCCCAAATGCAAAGCGATAAAACTTCTATATCGGGAAAGAGACTGCAATTATCTTTATTTCAAATTTCCTGTTTTTGATACCTATATAGAGAAGACATTACTGCTATCTATTACTTTATTTAGACTTTCGAGCTCTAAGATTGTACAATCTGTAAATACTTTAATCTGTGCCCGTAAATAATTTGGCAGTTCTCTCTAAATCTCCATAACTTAATATTTATAAAAATTCGAACTCGTAAAGTTGAACTTTGTGTAGATTTAAGACATGTAAATTTTAGGATGCAATTATGTAATTTGAAATGTAGATTTATTTCACATTATACAAAAAAATGCGTAACCTGCCAATTCATCATGTATGACTTGTTAATTAGTTGTTTAATTATTACGTATATGTTTTACAAACTCTAATTTCAGATGCTATAAATCAGTTTTTAAAATAATGTTTGCACACAAATAAATTATTTTCAGCAGTTAAAAAATTCTAAAAAATTTTTTGATATTTAAAAACCATGCATTGTATTGCCCAATAAATTTAATATAAATAAATATCTAAAACTGAAACGTTTTTCATAGTAGACCAATGAAAATTAATTTTTATGAAGATATTCATATATAAAACATATTCATATATAAAACATAGTACGTCCATCCAAATGCACATACATAAATTTGATAAAATGTCTCCATTAACAAATTACGCTAATCGATATTTAGAGTTGAGTCAAATCGCGCTATTTTTGCGAAAACATTTCTTTTTTTCAAAATAATGGAACCAAAATCGTGAAACAAAGTGTTAGCTTATGCGTTGCATGTCACTATCAATTGTAAACATTATCATCGCACACGTACACACACGTATCATTGCTTGCATATATACTTTTGTTTTTTCTCAAATTATTGTACGCGAGATATACATATGTATGTATATATATATATATATATATATATATATATATATATGTAATTGTTATTAACGCGGATGTCGACTCGCAATTTTTAAAGTTTTGGCTAATTATCCTTTCAGCAGTATACGATTTACATTCGCGATAAGTGCAGAGAATGACTTGACTGGCATGAAATACACGACGTCTTAAGCATTCGAAGGTAAACAGAACTGTATCTGTTACCGGTAAGGAAGTATTCGTAAAACTCGCTTTATCGACTATAAGCCTCGATGATAAGGCTTGACTACAGATCGCCATTGTAGAAAATCATATTATCGACACCAAGAGCATTTTCTACCATACCGATACAAGTTAAGGCAGAAGAAAAATTGAAAAAGTAACATATTTATCACTCACCCTTACTTGTTTCCGATTGAAGATTCTCCGTCTTGATTTCTGTTCTAACATAAGAGATGGAAGCCGGAGATGCTTGCGTCGAGGGAGCTGCCAATTTTTCTAAATACACAACATTAAAAGAATAATTATATATTGCGAACACAGAATTACAAATATGAATAATGTCACATGCAACAAGTTACCTGCTAATAAAGGGTTTGCAGCAGCGATATTGTGCCTTTGTCGTTTATAAGAGGAAGGGGTTGTGGTGGAGGTGGGCTGGCTGGCTTCTGCCTCAAGCTCTCGCAGGAAATCCAGGGGATCAAAAAGTTCTTCCCCTGTGACACTGGACATACCTGCGCCTTCCTCCGCCGGCATATTTGGCGCCGCCGGCGTTCCTACCAGAGCACTTAGCTCCATCGGAGAAAATTCTACCGATTGGCCTGTGTTGCTCTGTTGGAAAATAAAAAATGCAAGATTAAAGAAAGTAATGCCTTGATCAATATGCTTATTCTGTAATTTATTGCAGATATTGTTTTCTTTGTTATTTATTGTCGTCTCTCGACTTGATGGATTAAATATTTTGTAAATCTTAAATTTTATGCAGCCTACATAATATATTTCACAAGTTATTAATTTCACATTTTTATTTCGAATCTAACTTAACATTTATAGTTCTATATAAAAATTCTAAATATGTATTTTAAAATCTATGTATAGTAAGTTTTATATATATATCCAAGGTTCTTCAAAAATTGAATTACAAATTACCAATTTTAAGTATTAATTGTTCTGCTATTAATTGTAAATTTCATATTTAGAAAATATTATTGTTTCAGTATATTTTGAGTATAAGTGTTAACCTCGAATGCAAGTTCTAAATCCAGCTGAGCTAAATTCTGCTGGTTACTCACCTGAAGGCACTGGGTTAGATCCATTTTTCCGTCATTGTCAGAGTACCAAAATAGCTCGTCGTCTATGAAGGGCATGTTTGATTCCTCCTTGGGTACAAGGCTGGAGGTTAATGTGGGTGTTTGCGATACGGGGACCGGCATCGGGACCCGTATCCGGCGGCGGGGCCACTTTAGCCACCCCCGCGCCTTCTAACATCTAAAACCACCTCCGAAATTTTCCCGCTTCTTTCGCCTCCTGCTTATGCCCACACTTTTTTTTATGCGCGTTGTTGTTTCCCTGAAATCAAACATAACAACATGTAATCTTCTCTTTTTCTCAATCAATTAAAATGCGGTAGCGATTAAACGCAAAACACGATCTCTTTATCTCGCAACTACTGATGCATCGCGTATTTGCACTTTCATTTGAATTCTAATTTGAACTCGACTAAAACATAGCTTGCATTGTAATGCTACTTTCTCCTACTGTTTATGTATACCCGCATGAATGTATACACAACGTAATACTATATGTATGTACAATAATGAGAAAAATATAGTTTTTATTTCTCACTATAAATTTAAAATTATTATATATAATTAAAAAGAAATTCAATCCAAAAATCTAATTTAAAATTGCATTTAAGATGCAAATCAACCCGTTCATAAGTTAATCATTTCTAAATAATATTTTTACTGCTCCAAAATGATTGATAAGTTGATTTCAAAAAATAACAATATGAAAATATACAGAAGGGATCATAATTAACGAATCATGATCTTACGTGTACATTATCACTAGTCTCAAAGCTTATTATATGTTTCAAACTTTCAGATTTAGCAAAAAATTTAATAAAATCAAGACAAATAAACAACTATAAATTTGATAGAGAATACATTTGTAAGCTAACATCTTTCCTGTTCAAGAGAATGTATAATTAGTTAAAACAATAAAGATGTTTATCAGAGGAAATATACCTTTTTGGGAAAACTTTTCTAAAAATGACCGAAGTCAGCTCGCGAAACTGTTCGGTGCGCGGCGAGCACCGTTGATGATTCGTAACTAATTCACGTAATGCCATCATTGTTGATAGAGAGAAGTGTGCGCGAGCAATATACCAGCAATTTTTATGAAAGTGAAAACAGCAAGCGAGAACTTTCTTTCTGACTTCGTAGCTGTTTCACTTCCTGTGCGCGTAACCTCGCGTTCTCCCGCCGCCGTCGCCGTCGCCGCCATCGTTGCATTTCTATGCAGCTTCTACTCAGCGCGGCGCTGCATTTACGTAACTCGCAGCCGCAAAAGAAAATTTTTACGGGGAGAGGTTAATATCCTCTTCTCTCTCATCTAATACAACTCGTACTATAACAATCATTAATAAACCGACAATTAGTAAACATTAATTCTTACATGCGTGCTTTTTTATCTATTAATTCTAACTCTACTTTATTTGTCCGCCAAAAGAGATTCGCCGCAGAAGCATCCATGACATTTGTGTATAAGCACCTGACTTCATCCTATTGTCGCATGCGCATAAAGCTATATACGCAAGACACGCGATCTAACGTTACGAATCAAAACATTAAAGCGGTCCAAAATTAGTGCACATTTTAGTGCAACAGTTATAAAAAGTGCGAGTTGCAAGTGACATAAACAAACTTATTAATGGCAGAAAGTAGCGACACGTCAGATGAGAGTTTGGATGCAACAAGTGAGAAATTCGATCCGCTGAAAGCTTTGTATTCGACCAAAGTGAAACTATCATCTTCCGCGCCAATTTACGATAACATTGCGAAATTCGAGTCCATCCTAAAGGGAATCAGTGTATCAACAAAAGTATGTATTGTACATTGCCATGTGCTCGTGATGTATCAATTTCTTATTTGATTCTACAAGTCAAAATCGGAGAAAATAGTTATCGATTGTGAAGTATATTAAATTGTACAAATTGAAATCACGGAAATTAGAATACGAAAGGCATCAGAATATGTTTAATGATGGGAAATATATATCCTAACCTAACATAACCTAATATAACCTAAATTCACAATATGTCAAAGTATTAATATTTATACAAAATAGAACACGCGGAATGGATTTTAAAATTTATGATGTCCAGAATTTATGAAAATGATAAACTATTTTATAAAATTTGTAATATTCAAACTATTTAAGATATAATTTAGTATTTTGTTAAATCCTAAAGTTAGGAGAAGTTAGAATCCTTAATCAGAAAATTAATACATTGTAAAATCTGTATGATTAGAATACATGCACTCACACGAAACAGAGAATGCAAAATTTATAATAAATTTGGAGATAACATTTCTAAATATTTTAGCTATGAAAAAATTTTGTTATATTTCGGAATAATGAAAAATTTTGAACATTCGAGGACTCAATAAGAATTGAAAGCTAAAATTCACGGTTTGTTTATTTTTAGAGTAGCAAACCGTCTGTGGAAGAACCTTCGAAACAGAGATTTTTACCGCATCAAGGTAAGGAAATTAGATCTTCAATATTCACATATCTTTCGCACGTCTCGCGAGAGATGGCGACCGCATACAGCTTCCTGACTTCTACGGAGTTTTTCCGTAAGGACAACTGAATCGTAATCATTTAGACTCATTTAGGCAAACTTGAGCTCATACATCACGGTCAAATATGTACAAACATGTACAAACATATACAAACAGTAACACACAATTACGAACTTTAAAAGAAAAATACAAGTGCGAATAGAAAAGAATTTCACAAGAAAATGCATTTGATTAGCAAGAAAGACTCGATTTCAACGCAAAGATTGATTTTTATTATAAAAAATTTTACGGAATTTCATTCATGTAAGTAGTGGTGTACATATGCACAATATCGAATTTCAATGTGGCGTTGACGCATTCTTTGGAACGTAGAGCACCGATACGCTCGGAAATCCCTTCCGTGCTTATATGTAATTAATAATCTTAATCAATTTGTAATTATTAATCCAATCTTTAGAATATCTTAATTAACTCAACGTTCTCTTATCCTTTGATGCATCAAATGCAAAGTTACATGATGATCGTAAAAAATTTTTATGATGGCATTGACACTGAGGAAAAATCGACTCATCAAAAAATTTGTTAAAATTGAAGCCTCGAATCGCGAGACAAACCGTCCTGAGCCCTAAATGTAACGACTTGTGACAACAAGTCGAGAAACTCACAAGTTTGGTATGATTTCTTTGAACGATCTATTATACGTCGTTTTCGCGCCTAATCATTCGTTCGTGCTTGCGTCACTGGTTCTTATAGTTCAGATACCGACGCACTTTATTTACGGCCTAACAAATACCACAAAGGTCGCTGCAACGGCGACTGCAGCTCACCAGCATTAGTAGCGCTTGGAATTTGACCTCCGCGAAAGTGTACGTCAACTGTTTTCGCATGGTGAGACCCCGACCGCCGCGTAGAGGTTCCCCATTGTTTCCTCTTCCACGGTTATTTTTCCCTTGCACGTATGTTGCGATATCTAATGTGTTGCGAGTGCTGTCTTGCTCAGAGAAGTAGAGAGATAGAGAAAAAGAAAGATATCCTCCTCGCTTTAATACGCGTGCGAGCAACATGTCAACAAACTTTCCGAAAAGCGTTTATAACCTTGCGAATTCTAAGCCGCGATAATCAGCTGTTTTAATATCGGAGGTTTATTTGTTAAGAAGATAATCTGCAACTTTCACAAGTTACCTTTATATAAAGAATTTTTGGATTATACAATTCTAAGAAAATATATGAAAGCGATCTCTAGAGTTCAATTTGATTAGCACAAAGTCTCGATCGTATATTCTAAATCTTTACGAAACTTTTGTCGATAGAAAACTATACTTTTATCATGAATTTTAATAGAAAAGAAAGAAAGTCATCGTTATATTTTTAATCAAAACGGTCGATGTGTTTTACAAACACAAAATTTCGAAGCATTAAAAAATTCAGATAAAAGAAAAAAGAATAAATTTATTAGAAAACTTGTAAAGTTGCCACATATCTGTATCATATATAAGAAAGTATCTCTAGTATTCTTTCTTTGAAGTCTTTTTATATTATCAAGACTAATAATTTATAAGAAACAAAAAGAGATTGAAATAAAATTCTCATTTATGAAGCTCGGAACGAAAGTAAATATTCTGTGCTGCCGCCAAACAAATAAAATATTTCGAGAAATATGCAAATGTTATTTTTGCAAAGTATGTCAAGTCTTTTTGCGTCAAATTATCTATAGATTTTTCTTGATTATTATTAAACAAGTGCGTACAGATTTAACTTCCGAGGTTCATTTTCTTTCATTATCTAAGATTTCCCGAAAAAAAAATTAACATGATAATTGCATCATTAATCAAACAAGATAAAAGATCGTCATTCTTACAACAATAATTAAAGTCAATCCGCAAATATCACGCGTATCTGCGGAGTAAAGGCGGCTTTAGAACTCGGAAAGAACCGAGTCCAATTTCATTACATAAAGAGTGTAATTGATGATTGAGATTACTGCGCAGGAACAGGTAGTCCGTTCGAAAACGAGAAATGAGTAAGAAGAAATGGTGAACGTTAGATGCAAGTAGCGCATTCTCCGTGTGCACCCCGTTTTCCCTCCCCGCTCTCTGCAACGCACCCGGGGGATATATATCTATTGGCCGGCGGCCAATTATACGAGGCAGCCGATAAATCACGGATCCCTGACCCAGTGCAGTTTTATATTTACCGACGACGGTGCGTGGTGTGTGCGGAGGAGCATGGTCATGCGCCCTCCTCCCTCCGTTTCTCTTCCTCTATTCCGCGTCTCTATCCATTCGTCCATTCGTACGCCCGCGTCTCTCACTTCGTCTTTCACGCGGCACTCTCCTCTCTTCCTCTCTCGATTGAGGTAACGCAAAGAGAAGCAAAGGAAGCGAGCGACAGAGAAACAAAGAGAGAGGGATCACTCGAAGGGGGTAGAGAGGGATCTTTGCGGTTGTCGTGCGATTGTACGAGTGAACGAGGTGGGAGGTGGGGTTGTATATGTGCACGTCGGAGGGAAAGGGAGGCGGCGATGTATATACGTGTACGTAGTGCGGCACTTGTTGCGCGCCCGGACGTCGACCTCTTGCGCTCAACCCGAGGTTTCACGACGCGGCACGCCTAGGGATGCCGTGATAATACGCCGATGTTACTGTCCGAATATCGATACCGTATACTTTCGGCATCTATTATCGAAGAGCTTACTTCCGAGTTGCCTTGAATTCATATTTCGAAAAATCAACGTTATATATTAAAAAAGTTATCCATAGCTCTATATTTTTCTGAATGTGGATTTTAAAACGCTTCGAAAGAAAAGTTTGACTAAAAGTTTGACTGAACATTGATGATTCAAGTTCTTATAGCTTAGTATTTGCGTACGTAATGGTCCATCTAATGTTACAGCCTGAAATATCTTTTCTAAGAATTTTCGGAAAAGCTTGAAAATTACATATATGTATTATTTTAAGAATATACAAGCATTGTTCTATACTCGTCCTTTTCGTATATTTTATTCATAAAAGTAAAATTCTAAGAGAAAATATTTCAACTGTTAATGTTACGCGGACCATTTCATTTCATATTCATCAACTGAATCAAATCTTTATAACAAATGCATATAATATCTTTATTAAGCGCATTGCACTTATATTCAGTTGTGTAGTAGAAAGTTCAACAGTCATTATTAAATTTATTTTTTGTCAATGTACCGTCAAGATTGCTTTTTTACTAGCACGAGGAATGTCCAGCAGATTGCAAAAAATCGATACTGATATTTACGGTACATTGAACGAAAAAGATCCGACACTTGATCGCACTTGAGCATCACTACGCGCACTCCGTGTCGGCTAACTCTCTCTCTCTCTTTCTCTCTCAAGCGAAAACTTGGCGCACCGCGGCGCAACCTCAAAAAGGTCGTTCGGCTTCCGGCGCTCTCGTTACGGCCGTCTCTAAATCCGTGCACGCGTGCCTACGAGCGAGCGAGAGCGTCGCGACGCCCGGCGTGGCGTGGCGCGTCGCGGCGCGTGTCTTAGCGCATTTCGGAGGTCAACGTTTCGCGATCGGCGAAAGAGTCGGCCGCCACGCCGTCGAAAGTCACGCGGCGTTATCGAAGCCGATCGCGAACGCGTGCAGAAAGAGAAAAAGGGAGAGAGAGAGAGAAAGATAGAGAAAGAGAGTCTCGAGCGCACTTGTTGCGCCCGGACATCGACCTCGCTGCAGCGAGCCTCTCCAGCTTCGGCCCTCAAACACGTTCCGCCGGAACCGCGATTTTTCCTAATTGTTGACACGCGCCGGCGAATGAGAACGCGATGCAACGGCGTGTGTATACATGTGTGACTAGAGATGCCGTGATTCATCCGCGATCGCGTACATTGTTAGATTCGTAGCAGTCATAGATCGATTCTGTGCATCAACGTCGATGCCGCGCACAATACGTCGAGTATTATAATTGGAGAATCGTTGGATATTTTGCACGAAAAAGTTAGTCAAGAATTCGTAAGGAGATTGGAATTTAGAATTTATAGCTGTGATTTAATTAAGATCTGTTTATCTAAAGCCGATATAAATTGTGGCGAAGCTTGGGTTTTACAGATCCGAAATTTGTCGTAGACTTCCCATATAAAATATCTGGGAATCTACACTCTTTAGAAATTTAAATACGCGAAATCTGAGATTCGGAGAATCCAGAATCTGCATAGACTACGATCTACAATTGGAATTCTACAGAATTCAGAGGCAAAATTCGAAATTCTCTCTTGAATATATTTACATTCATCCGCGCGATTTCGGCAGAGGATCTCAAATGGATCTCTTCTCCCTGCATCTTGTTCAAACTCGACTTCCCGCGACGTCTTCCCGACCTAACGCAACGTGACACACATGGTTGCAACATAAGTGAAATGTCAGAACCGTAACGACGGCGACGAGAGGAAACTTTTCTAGATATCGCAGTTCCGGAAGTAAATTTCGCTCTCTAGCAGCAGCATCTCGAGTCCGTCCGCGAAAAGCGCGCATACGCATAATACACACGCACACACGCGCCTACTCTCGCTTATGGCACGAACACGACGGCGAAGCAACGACGGCAGCCGTCCACCTCGAGTAACGGAATACTCGTCGATGTTTTCTCCATCGATTCTCTCGCGCGCAGCATTGCGCAACACTTACGCGCGGTACGACATCGCGAGTGCATATGTTTTTT